ATCAGCTTCGGCATCCGCTGCAATTTGGGAGTGGCCATCGTGTCCATGGTGAACAACAGCACGGTGCACAAGGGAGGCCACGTGACTGTGCAGGTAAGCCCCCCCGCACAGCACCGCCCCTCCCCCTCTCCCCCTTGTCCTCCCCCACTCCGGCTTCGGCAGCTAAAGGAGGCCTAGAGCGCGAGGGACGCCGGGAGGGGAGAGTCAGAGAGACCCTGAGACTCAGAGACCCTCCCAGGTTCAGACAGAGAGAAACTCCCAAGACACAAGGATGGGAAGACGCAGGGCAGTGGAAACTCCGCGACCCCGGGACTCAGAGACCCTGGGAAGCAGAGACGTAGGGAAGAAGAGGCAGTAAGAATCAGCAACCCAGGTAGACAGAGACATCAGGCCCTGGTGACAGATAGATGGAGGAAATAGGTACTCAACGACGGGGAAACCTATACAGGGAGGCACAGGCACAGACCCAGAGACACAGAATACCTTGGACGTTCAAAGACTAAACTAATTCCAAGTACCACAATGGATTGTCAGAGACTGGGAGATGTGCAGTGGCAGAGAGAGTCTTAAGGCCTCGCAGGCTGAGAGGGAGAGAGAAACAGAGACTGAGACGCATACAGAGACCCAGAGACTCCAGCGTCCAAAACAGTGCGGGGACAGGCAGGGGCTGCGGAAAGCTGAAGAGATGAACAAAAGTTCTGTTCGGAGGCTGGATGCAGGGACAATCACTGATTGGCTCCCTGCTGATGGGTGGGTGGGTGGGGGTCTCTTCTGTGCCCTGTACAGAAAGCTCAGTTCAGCTGGGACCCTGAAACCGTGGGCCTCATCCACGGTTCCTTCTTCTGGGGCTACATCGTCACCCAGATTCCCGGGGGCTTCATCTGCCAGAAGTTTGCGGCCAACAGGTGGGGGCGGAGCTGGGAGAACTGGGCGTGTCAGCAGGGAAGGAAAGGGACCAGCGGCCTGGGGGAGGGGCTAAGAGCTGCTTGGGGGCGGGATCTGGCTCATCCCCTTCACGCCTCTCTCCTCCCGGCAGGGTCTTCGGCTTCGCCATAGTGGCCACGTCCACCCTCAACATGCTGATCCCCTCCGCTGCCCGTGTCCATTACGGCTGCGTCATCTTTGTGAGAATCCTACAGGGGCTTGTGGAGGTGCGAGCCCCTCCCACCGCTCCCAACCCCGTCCCTTTCTCGAGTTCTCCTCTCTTTCTTTCTAGCTCCGCCCCTCCAAGCTAAGTCCCACCCCAATCCCTGACCCCACCCTTTCTGCCCCCCAATCTCCCTCAGGGCGTCACGTACCCGGCCTGCCACGGGATCTGGAGTAAGTGGGCCCCGCCCCTGGAGCGCAGCCGCCTGGCAACTACAGCCTTTTGCGGTGAGAGCTGGGGGGTCGGGGGGAAGGGTGTGGGGGGCTGGCTGGGCTGGCGGAGGGGGCGTTTGGATTTCTGGTAGGCGCCCAGGCTTGGGTGCCTAGATTCCCAAAGGGGAGGCTTGTCTGGAGGAAGGGCATCCTGGCGTCCCCGTAGGGGCGGCACTGGCCCTGGTCTTCCACCTTGACTTGCTAGCCCCCGGCCCTGTCCCGCAGGCTCCTACGCTGGGGCTGTGGTCGCTATGCCTCTCGCCGGTGTCCTAGTCCAGTACTCGGGATGGAGCTCTGTGTTCTACGTCTATGGTGAGTGAGAAGCCGGGGGGCCTCTCTGTGGGCGGCCTGAGGTTGGGGCTCACACAGAGAGCCAAGACTCAGCCCTCCCTGCCTCGCCTGGCCCTCTCACACCCCCCCCCCAGGAAGCTTCGGGATCTTCTGGTACCTCTTCTGGCTCCTGGTGTCCTATGAGTCTCCGGCCCAGCACCCAAGCATCTCAGAGGAGGAGCGCAAGTACATCGAAGACGCGATCGGCGAGAGCGCCCGCCTCATGAACCCGCTCATGGTCAGCCTCGGGTGCCCGGGGGACTCCGGGACCCAGGGGCAGGGAGCTCCAGGGGAGGGTGGGAAGACGCCGGAGTGCCCAGGTGCCGGACGCTGAGCGAGGCCGGGGAAAGGGGAGGGGGTCTGGAGTGCCAGGAGCAGGGCCAGAGGTGGGGGAAGGAAGGACCCCTGAGTCCTCAGGACCAGGCGTGGAGGAGGAGCGGAAGCCCCCCTGTGCAGGCAGCCCTGCGGGCCTCGGGGTCCACTCTGCCTTCAATGCCCCTTCTCCGCCGGGCAGAAATTCAGCACGCCGTGGCGCCGCTTCTTCACATCCATGCCCGTCTACGCCATAATAGTGGCCAACTTCTGTCGGAGCTGGACTTTCTACTTGCTGCTGATCTCTCAGCCCGCCTATTTTGAGGAGGTCTTCGGGTTTGAGATCAGCAAGGTGGGCCCCAGCCCCACCCCCTGCCGCCCCCTACTGGGCGATAGCCGAAGGGGAATAAGAGACCTCAGTTCTGATCCGGCTGGAGGCCGCAGCGGGGAATGCCAAGTGCAAGAAGGGGAGAGCGCACCGGGAACTAGCGGGGCACCTGAGGGGGAGGGGAGGGTCCTTGGGGCAGCGAGGGGGCGGGGCCTGAAAGCAAGCCGAACGGGCTCCCGCCCTCTCCCCTTCCTCCTTCCCTCACTGCTCAGGTGGGCCTGGTGTCCGCGCTCCCGCACCTCGTCATGACTATAGTCGTCCCCATCGGGGGCCAGATCGCGGACTTCCTTCGAAGCCGCCACATCATGTCCACCACCAACGTTCGCAAGATGATGAATTGCGGGGGTGAGAAGCGGTCTGAGGCAGTGGAAGGGGCTTGGAGTGGGGTCCAGGAGACCTGGGAGGGGGAGGCAAGACTTGAGAAGGGGTCTTCTTCCCGTCCCTCTGACCCCTGGGTCCCCGAGGGGGTGGGGCTAGGGTGGTCACGCGGGGTCCCCGAGGGGGCAGCCAGGACTCCTGGGTCCTCGCAGGCTTCGGCATGGAGGCTACATTGCTCCTGGTCGTCGGCTACTCTCACTCCAAGGGCGTAGCCATCTCCTTCTTGGTCTTGGCGGTGGGCTTCAGCGGCTTCGCGATCTCGGGTGAGGTCTGAGGTCGGGCTAGGTCTGGGGGAGGGGAGTAGCGAGGGCCCCTTCTCAAGCTGGGCAGCAACTCAGGAAGCTCTGGCCGCCCCCAGGCTTCAACGTGAACCACTTGGACATCGCCCCGCGCTATGCCAGCATCCTCATGGGCATCTCCAACGGCGTGGGCACCCTCAGCGGCATGGTGTGTCCCATCATCGTGGGGGCCATGACCAAGCACAAGGTGAGGGCCAGGTTCCTACCCCCGCCTGCCGCTTATCCGCAGCTGCCTCTGGTTCTCACTCTAATTGTTTCTCTTGGAATCTCACTGGCTCTTTCTTTTCCCACTTTCTCTGTCTCCCCGTGTTTTTGGAAACCCTCTGTTTCTGTTTCTCCCGGCCTCCTGCTTTGCTCTCTGTATTTCTCTCGGTGTCTGTCTCTCTTCCCTTTCTCTGCCTTTCCCCTGTACCTCTACCTGTCTCTTTCCCTCTCCCGAGTCTCTCTCTGCTATTTTCTTCTTCTCCATCCCTGTCTCTCTCTCCCCTCCACTTCCCGCGTCTTTATCTCCCTCTACATCTTTCCCTTCCACCTGAATCTGCCCGATTTTGCCTCCTCCCATATCCCTCCCTCCCCCCTGTGTTTTCTCTCTGTTTTCCCGCATCTCTCCCTCCCTGCTGTTTGCTCGTCTTTATCTCTCCCCATATCTTTCCGTCTCTGCTGCGTCTCTCCTTCTCTCTCTCCCCATGCCTCTCCCTCTTCCCTGTGGTCTTCCCCTAAATCTCTCCCCCAACCCTGTTTCTCCCCCGTCACCCCCCATATTCCTCCCTCTCCCCTCCCCCATCCCTCTCTCTCCCTCTTTCTCCCCCATATTCCTCTCTCTCCTGCCTCTCCCATCCCTGTCTCTCCCCCGTCTCTCTTTCCCCCTATATTCCTCCCTCTCCTCTCCTGCCTCCCCCATATCTCTCCCTCTTCCCGGCTCTGGCTTCCTGTCCATGCCTTCCTCCCTGCCTGCGTCCCGGCGGCAGACCCGGGAGGAGTGGCAGTCGGTGTTTCTCATCGCTTCCCTGGTGCACTATGGGGGAGTCTTGTTCTATGGCATCTTCGCCTCCGGGGAGAAGCAGCCATGGGCGGAGCCCGAGGAGCTGAGCGAAGAGAAGTCGGGCCTCGTCCAGCATGATCAGCTAGCGGCCAGCAGTGATGAGAGTGACGGCCCTGATGATCCTGCCTTCTCCTACGCTGCTGCTTCTGGGGAGCCCGCTGCACCGGGAGCGCCCCCAGGCCCGGGCCCAGCGCTGGGTCCTGGGCCCCCGCCCTCCTACGGGGCCACCGGGAGAAGTCCTGCCCCACCCGCCTGGCCTCCAACCCAGAGGGACTACTGACACCCCCATCCCAATGGTGTCCAGGGCCCCAGGACTACATTCCCAGTGGTTTCAAGTCACCCAGTCACCCCAAATCCCACTTCGATGTTTCTGCAGGGCTGCAGACTGGCAGTTTCCAGACCCCCCAAAGGCTTGGGTCTCTAAGTACCCCCTTCTCTTAGCCTTTGTGGGTTTATGAGCCTCCCACAGCCCCAGTAATACGGTCCCTCATCACATCCTTTCCTTCTCAGTCAGCTAACCCTAACGGTCTTGACTGCTGGTTTCACGGCTAGTCCTTCTTAGGGGACACTCGAAAGCCTCCCTCAGTTTCCCAGGGATTTCTAGACAGTCCCCCCGAAACACTCCGGAGAACACTCCCAGCATCCCAATCTTCAGAGAGATGTCAGCCCAAACCTTGGAATCAGGGGCCTTTCATGTGAGTTTCAAAATCTCTCCTTCAGGAGATTCAAATTGCCCCCTTCCTCAATGCCCAGTTGAATTTTTGCCAATCACAGGAGAGGGAGGGGCTGAAGCCCCGCCCATTCCTCCCCCCCATCCATTCCAGGGATTGATGCTCACCAGCGTTTCTGTCAGAGAGCAGAGGTTTCAAGCTCCCCTTTAGCAATGCCCCGACTTTCCCCAGCTGTTTCTAGGGCCCACTTCTGCTACAACATTAACTACATGCCAATTGTAAAGCCCCTCCTTTCAATGATAAGAGATTTTGAAATTACAACATACACCCCTCCAAGCCTCAGGCCCTCATAGGAAGACCCTCATCTCTCCATCAGTTGTGGTTTCAAAGTTTCCCTACAAACAAAAAACAAAATGGGGATTTCTCAGGCTTTTAATGGTGGTTTCCAGGTCCCCCGGAGCCACCTAGAAGGCCGTTTTGAGTTGAGCCCCGACTCTCCTCCCCCCGCCCCCCGCCCCTGGCCCCGCTAGCCAGCGCCTCTCCAGCTGAGCAGGCCCTTGGCAACCGCGTTCAGAAATGGTCTGAAGCTTCCTAAATCCTTGCACTTTATTCCTCCCCCGCCTCCCCCGTCCCGGTCAGGGGCCTTCGCTGTGGTCACCCAAGCTTATTTCCAAGGCCTTCACGGCAGGAGGGATTTACAGCCCGGGCCTCTTCCCTTCCTAGCCCAAGGCTGACTACGGTCCGGGAGGACCCCTACTGGGGTGAGGGTGGAGGGGCCAGTTTGTGAGTGTGTGAATGTGTGCCACGTCTGGTCAAAATAAAATACTGTCGAGTCAATGTAGACCTAGGTGTGGTCCCAGATATCTGGACCTCCAGCCTGTTTCGCCCCCTTCGACAGCCTCTTCCCAGGGCTCCCAGACCCTTCCCTCAGCCCCCTTAATGACTGAGCCATCCAGTCAGGTTTGGAAAGGCAAGGGCGGGACCAGTTCTGGGGACGATACTTTTTAATTCTGCGTCAGTGGGGTTCCCAGGAGCGGAAGCCGAAGCACCTCAGACTCTTCCCCCTCCTCCCGCCCCGTGTCAAGACTACAAGCACAAATCATGCTGGGTAGAAGCCAGGGTTCTGGGGGCCCCGGGCCCCTCTCTCGGCTAGGCTCCGGCTCACACGAAGTTGTTGGGCAGAGCTGCGGGGGAGAGCGGCTCCAGGCGCGGCGGCGACGAAGTCCGGCCCGGGGGCGGAGGCAGCTTGGGAGGCAGAGGGGGCGTGCTAGGTGGCTGCTTGGTGGCGATGTGGGAGGGAACCCATGCGTCCGGGGCGTAAAAGTGGAAGTCATAAGGATCCTTCGGGGCGTCCAGGTGGAGAGCTTTGGAAGACATTGAGGATAGGAGAGTTCAGCTCGCCCCATCCCCAATCCTACTCGCCTGGGCAAGTGTGTGTGTGTGGGGGGGAGGGAACTGCCCTTAGAAACCACCGAGTTCCATCCCTCACCCCACCCCTGATGGGGAAACTGAGGCTCAGAGAATGGAAGCCACTTCATTTGCCCAGGGTCTCTGGGGAAGGAAATGACCGAGCCCAGGACTCAAACATGGGTCTCCAGTCCTCGTCTAGGGACATAGCCACCACCACTACCCCAGACACACCCAGAATCATAGATGTAGAGCTAGACAGCAGAACTCCCTTAGTCCGTTTCCCTCATCTTACACATACGGAAACAGGTCAGGAAAGGAATTCTGACGTGCCCAAATGAGCAGTGGCAGAGGATACACAGACTCGAACCCAGGGCCTAAGACTCCAAATCTAACTTTCCGCTACGAGAAAATGCCTCCCTTCAGTGGTGACGATGGTGCGGTTTCCTTCCTCCTTTCTCCAGGGCGCCCCTCCCCTACTGGTCTTACCATCACCCTTCTTCCTTTCCCTCTAAGGGCTGCTTTAGCCTTTCCCCCTCTCTCCCGAACGAAGAGGAAGGAAACTGGAAGTGGCGGTTGTGCCCTTTTTACGAAGAGAAGGAAGAGGGAGGGAGGGAGGGAGGAGGCCTCCGGCCCCAGGAATAATGTGGGCTGGGCCTGGAGAAAGGGCAGGGCCTAACTGCAATGGGGGGTGGGGCCTTGGAGAGGAGGCGGGCCTTCCACTCACCCGGTTCATCACTGTAGTCCGGAAGACGGTGGTGTCCAAAGGGTCTAGAACGCGCAGCCCGGCGGTATAGACACCAAAGGAGAAGGAAAACTCCGAGCAGGAGCCCGGCTCCAGCCACGAAGAGGCACAGAGCCCCGCCTCCCGCTCCGCGAGGCTTACCCACCAGGGTCACACCTGCAGGGAGCCCGGGTTGGGAGGGAGGCTCAGCGAGCGAATCCTCCTGGCCCACAGGTCTGGGGCCTCTAGTGGACCCAGACGTCCTGTCTCCCAGCACTGGCCCCCCAGGCACACCACGTGTCCTGTATCTCAATCCCCAGCTCCTGGTCCTAAGTTGATCTAGATAGTCACCTTTCTCAGGGCCACGGGCTTCCTGTTCCTCAACCCCTGGACCTAAAAACTGATCCAGACCATTCACCTCTCTTGGCCATAGACTTCTGGTCCCCCACCTCCTGGACCAAAGCTGACCTAAGCATCTCCTTCTCTCCCCATTTCCAGTCCCTTCCCTGGCCACAGAGCTGACCTAGCCATCACCCTCCCTCCACACTGGAGATTCTATCCTGGCTCCAAGATGACCCCTCAGTCCCTCCCAAGCCCCAGCCCCTTACCGGTCTCCTGAACTCTCTCCACTACGATGATGGTATTCACAGTGTCGCTCCCATGTCTCCGCTGAAGAGGTCTGGCCCGAACTGGTGGACCAGGGGGAGATGGTGGTTCCAGGAGGCCGGCGGCTGCAGGGAGTGGGTTCTGAGGGCCTTTCGAGGGTTGGGGATCCGATTGACTTGATTCTTGGTAGGAAGTCTCGGGGAACCCAGAGTGGGAAGTTATGGAAGATTCTAAGTAAGGGGTTTCCGAGGAGTTGGCCCTGGCGGTAGTGGGCGATTCCATATGGGACATTTCTGGAGGGGCAGGGCTGGGTGTGGCGTGGGATTCTGGGTGGGGTGTTTCTGGGCCTTCAGACTGAACAACGGGGGAGGATTCCAGATGGGGAGTCTCTGGGGGGTCAGGGATAAGAGTCACAGGAGATTCGGATTGCATTGGTCCTGGGGGTTCAGAGCTGGGCGTCCCAGGAACTGGGGGAGCCGTCTCTGAGGGCTCATGCTGCGGGGCACTGGGAGGTTTTGGGGAGGAAGTTTTCAGAGGAAGGTTGGAGGCCCCTAGGAATTCAGAGGGGGGAATCTCAGGGAGGCCAGGACTGGGGCTGGCCTGGGATTCTGGGTTTACAGCTGAGGGTTCAGAAGTGTGGGGTTCTGGTTGTAAAATCTCAGAGGCTCCAGGGTTCTCGGTTGCATGGGATTCTGGCTGGGAAGGTGCTGGAGGGATTGAGGCAGAGACCCTCAGGGATTCTGGAAGTACGACTCCAGGAGTAGCAGGGTCCGGGCTTTCGTAGGATTCTGCCTGGGAAGTTTTGGAGGGGATCGAGTGAGGGGCTTTTGGTGATTCCGGCTGCTGAGGGGTCGGGACTGGGGTCTCTGGAGGGGAGGTTGCTCCAGAAACAACCCCGCCCTCCGCGTTGCGCTGCTTCGAGGGCTCCGGAGGCGGAGGAGCTGAGGGGGCTGCCTTCGAACCTGGGGAGCTCAGATGGAGGAGCAGGAAGAAGAAGAAGAGCCGCAGCGATCTCATGGCGCACAAGCTGATCCTCACCTACGAGGGAGAGATTGGTGAACTCCTGGAGCTGGCTCCACGCTAAGGGTTGTCCCCCCTCCCCCACCTCAGTTGCTCCCATTGGTCCTCAGGTCCCCATTCCCTCCCTTCCCCTCCAGTGCCCCTCAGCGGGGACCAGCACGTTATCCAGTGGGGAAGGGTGAGGTCGGACTACAACTCCCAGTGGGCTCCCGGGCGCCAGAGCTAGCAACCCGGAGAGACTGGAGTGCTGAGCATCATGGGAGTTGTAGTCTGCCTCCTTCTCTGAGTCGCGTTGGTCCCCGAAGGGCGAGGTCTGAAGGGGCGAGAGGGTTGGGAGATGTCTCCTAGTTCCCCCGTCCTCGACCCTGATCACTACCAGGGCCTTCTCAGTTAGGTCCGGAGAGCGGAAGCAGGGAGCTGGTGGGCAACAGCCTTCCGCATCGCCCTTATACCCTGAGGGACACAGCCGGCTTTCACTTGTTTACACTCGAAGTTGCTCAGAGACCCTCTAGGGAAAAAGATGCGGGGTCCCCAAGGGGCGGAGGCTGGGGAGGGGGGAGGAGAAGCCTGTGTACAAGGAGGCGAGAAGGACTGGGGGTCCAAACTTCTGCGTTAGCCGGGGGGTGGGGGGTGGGGGGGTGGCCTGAGTTGGGAGCAGGGTGGAGAGAGCGGCATTTGGAATCCAAGGACCTGGGCTCAAATGCTGGCTCGACCACTTATTTTCTTCTTGAGTGACCTTGGTCACTTCAACCTCTCTGAGCATCAGTTTCCTCACCTCTAAAATCAGTGCTGGAAATGACCTCTAAGATCCCCTTAGGGATCCCTCTATGATCCCATGATCCTTTCACAGGGAGGGGACAACGGTCTGCATTGTTGGGTGCTTCATCTGGGGACAGTTGGGTCCAACCTGGGCACTCGAGGGGTGCCGAGGGGGTTCTCTGAGGCACCAGGTCACCTCAGTTACTTGGTGGGGATCCCTGGATCCCTTATGAGAAAGAGGTGGGGGAGAAGAGAACCAGGACCAGTGGGTTCCTGGATGGGGAGTTTTGAATGGACTGCGTTGGGGTGGGGTGGGGGGAGACAGAGTGCCTGGGTTCCTTATTGGGACGGGCCTCCGGGTGCGGGGTTCTTACCTGAGGGTCAGGGCCGAAGGAGCAGCAGCAGCAGCAGGAGCAGGTGTAGAAAGGTGGACGCGGGCAGGTTAGCTGTGGAGACAAGGATACAGGCGGGGCCTTGGGGAGGGGGTGACGCACCTGACTGTCCTTCCCTTGAGAACCCCGGTGCCTGGCGACCGAGCCTGTTCTTAAAGGGAGCTGGGAAGGGGGCGGGAAAGACTTCCTGGATAGTGTTCAGCCTCATGCTGGGGGGCCCAGGCGTTCTTTCCCTCCCTCTTTCTTGGGGGATCCAGATGTTATTCCCTCTTTCCATTTCTCAGCCTTGCTGTTGGGACCTTGTAGCGAATCGTGGGTCCACTTGGCGGTTACATTTCTACTGGGCAGCGGAGATGTCACGCCTAGACTTGCATAAGCCCTGAGATGTGGCTTGGGGTGGGTGGTTTACAAGGGTCAGGGAGAAGAAGCCTCTTGCGCTCCCCCACCCCACTCCACCCCACCCCGGCTTCCCAAAGCCGGCAGTCTCCTGTATATCACTCCCACTATAGACCTGTTGGTACTGTTACCGGACCCTGTCGTCGGACCATCTCTTTCTCCCTGTCCTTCAGTGTCCCTCCCTCCTTTTGCACTTTTCTCCCTCTCCGTTCCTTAGTTTTTTTCTCTATCGGACCCGTGTCTAGCCATGGCTGCCTGACCGCCCCTCTCTTGCTCTTCCTGGTGGTTCCTCTATGGTCTGTCTCCCCATGTGCTTCCCTCTCTGCTGGTCTGAACGTCGAACCAGTCTTTCGTGATGATTCTTTCTTGCTAACTTATTTGTGTCTCCCTCTAGCCACCCATTCCCGTCTCTCTGCTTGCTTCCTTCTCTGTCCCTTTGTCTCTCTACCTGTCCCCTCATTTCTCTCTTTCTTGCCATCCCCGCCTCCCCACCCCAGCCCTGGCCCCTCCCGGGCCCAATTAAGGCTCGACTCCGGCTCGGACTCGCTTGGCCTCCCCCGCTCTCGGCTGCTCATTACCGGCGGCAGAGCCTAATGAGGCTGGGGGCGGCGTGACCCTGCGGCCCTGCCCGGCCCGGGACTGCGTCAGCGAGGGCCTTTATAAGGGCTTTGAGGGTGGCGGAGATAGGCTGCGCCTCGCTCAGGACGGAACAAGACGGGTACGGGCTGGACCTGCTAGAAGACTGGAGGGGGATTGGAGAGATGGGCGGAGCCGCTGAGCAAGACTTGTGTCCCCCACAGGTGATGGAGAACCCCAAGAGCCGGGAGCGCCGCCGGTGCGGGCTGCTGCTGCTGCTGCTGCTGCTGCTACTGCTGCCTGGGATCCCCGGAGCCACCGGGGCTGTTTTGCCCCTCTCTGAGAGCCCCAGGTGGGTATGGGGGTGCGGACCAGAGATACTCTCCTAGGCCATACACAGAGACCCTCAGAGGTACACAGGAACCTTGGACTCGCAGAGTTACAGGGGTTGAGAGACGTACAGACAACAGAGAGGCTGAGAGCGTGAGGTGTGACAGATAGGAAGAGAGATGCAAAGAGACGCCGAGAGATAGCAACACAGCAAAACTGAGGGAGAATCAGAGGCGGAGAAGCTGAGAGACACTCTCAGAGTGACAGAAGAACCAAACACCAAGGACGGCTTGAAAGCAGGAGATTCTGGAGGGAACTGGGGGGACACACTGAGCTGGGGCTGGGGCGGGGGGAGCTCAGAGAGGGAAAGGGACGAGGAGCCACGCTGGGGAGGCAGGAGCGTGACCCCAGACTTCGAGGGCCGTGGTCTCCTTCCTTTGTGAGACGGATCGGGTTGGGGGAAACTGGGCGGGGAGCCTGGGTGCCCATCTCACTCCCCCTCCCTCCCGACCCTGCAGCTCGTGGCTCCCATGGGTCCAGCCTCCCGCTTCTCTGACCCTGCGAGACTGGAGCCTTCAGCTGACCGGAGAGGCAGGCCCCGCCGGGGCCCCCGGACCCCGCCCCCATCTCGAGCCCCGTCCCCAGGGCCCAGCCCGAGCGCCGGACCCCAGCGGCGCCTGGTGGTGGCGGACGACGCGGCTTTTCGAGAGCGGGCGCGGCTGCTGGCCGCCCTGGAGCGGCGCCGCTGGCTCAATTCTTACATGCACAAGCTCCTGGTGGTCAGCGATGCGGCCGCCGACTGACGCTGAACTCCCCCTTTCCCCAATAAAAGTTCCTCGTCTTTTCTCAGCCTCGTGTGCTTTTATTGCGCTGGGGAGGGAAGTCTGGGGAGAGGGGAGCCCGGGGGCCGAGCTGCCTCACCCCTGTCCTCGTCCGGGGCCTCCCGCTGCCCGTGTGAGCCACGTTTCCGTCAGCCCGTCTTGTGCCGGTGTGCTTGCCTCCCCGGGCCTGCGTCCCTCTCTGTGGCCCTGGGTGGGCGTCTCCTTTTCTTCAGTCCCATTGCCTCTGGCTTTCTGGGTCTCTTTCTCGTCTCTAGCTCAGCCTACCCTTTTTTCTGTTTCCTTTCTCTTCTGACTTTTTTCTCTGACTCCGTTCCCCATCTCTTCTCTGCTTGTCTCTTGCTTTCCAAGGTTCTCGGTCTGTTTCTGGTTTTCTGAACCTGTGCACCTGAGCCTGCCAGGGCGCGTTTTTCTCTTGCCCTTCCTAAACACCGCCCTCCCCACCCCCCAGCACAGACTGGAACACCGGTGGGATGGATATAGTGGGGGGGGGGAGGCTGGCTCTCAGGGTACCCGGAGGGAGGTGGGATTGAGAGGGCACCGAAATCCTCCGGGAGGCATGAGAAAGTGGGTATCACCAGCTATCTGATAGCGATGCTCCCAGTTGACTTTGCCCAACCTAGGAAGTCCAAAGGTGGTTCAGGTGGGCACCAACGGCTTTCTTATTGACCCAAAGAAAACTCCAGACTCAGAACGGAGGGAGTTAATTGGTTGTACTGGCACACAGACGTGCACGTCAAAGTTGCCTAAACCCTGAATGAGATTCTAGGGTTACCGTCCATGGAATGTTCTTAGGTAGGAGAATCAGATCTCCTGGTCTCAGTTTCCCCAGCTGTAGGATGAAGGAGTTGGGCTAGATGATCCTGAAAGTCCTTTCCTGCCGGGACATCCTAGGAGGGGCCTGAGAGGTCACGAGCTCACAACCCTCCTCTCACAGAAGAAACTTGGAGAAGGCAGGGGCCCTAAGGGGCAGAACCAGCATTTGAACTCAGGCCTTATGGCTCTACATTCAGCATTCCTTCTCCTGACCCTGGATATCTTGGGGGATGCAGGAATGAGGACCTCCAAGTTGAGTGCAGACTCCCATTCCTAAGAAGTGACACAGTTAACTCCAGGGCACACAGAACAGTATAGCAGTGACAGTCTCCAATGTCCTGAGAGCCTCTTTAAGGAGTATGGAGCCCTCAGAGGTGCCCCCCAGGAACAGCACTCAGAGCCAGGCTGGGGGCATGGAGGCAGTTTATTGGGTCAGAAACTGTGCTGGGGGTTCACACTGGTGGGGGCTGGCGGTAACTCAGTTGGAGGTGGGGCCAGGCCAGAGGCCGAGAGAAGGCCAGGACGAGAGCAAAGAGCAGCAGCAGCAGTAACAGCAGGCCCAGGATGGGGGGCTGGGTCAGTGGAAGGCTTCGGGTCCTGGAAGAAGCAGACACAGCCAGAGGTAACAGTCTGGGGGCTGACCTGGACCCCTACCCCATAGCTGGGAGCCCAGGGGCAGCTTACCTGAGTCTCTGGGCAGCTAAGGAGGTGGGATGGATCTGGTCCCAGTTTGTCCTCCTCCCAGCTGAAACCAGTTGGCTCTTTACAGGCTCCAAGGCCTGATGGGGGGCTGCATCACTAGGACTGCTGAGAGGGAAGGAAGCCAAGGGCACCCTCAGCACTTACAGAACATGGGATCTGATAAATCATTTAGGGCAGCCGTCTCCTTTTACAGATGGGAAAAGGAGACCTAGAGAGAGGAAATGAAGGCTTGCCCAAGCCACACAGATACCAAGCAGCAGAGCCCAGGTACTCTGGCCCCTCATCTAGCCTCTTGCTACACACAGCGCAGTGTTCATCCAGCCAGGGCCTCACATCCATTCCCCTTCCAGCCCCTGCCTAGTTTCCTCACCTGCCAGCATCAGGGCATAGCCTGTCTCCAGGTTGTGGGCTCCCAAGGGTAGCTGGGTGTCCAGTCTGAGGGAGCAAAGAGGCTGACATGAGGTGCCTACGTGGGCTGCCCAGGAGCCACTGTAGACTGCCCCAGAGCTAGTTGCCCCAAAGTAACAGTAACACTGCCATCCTCCGCCAGGCCCCAAGGCTCCCACATCCCAAATCTGGGGGTTGCCTTGGACTCGTCTTGCCCTCACTCCCCAGTCAGCTTTCAAGTCCTAAGGCTTCCCCCTCCATGTTTCCCTGCCTCAGTTTCTAATTTTGTTTCCAAACATCTTTCTTTCATGACCCTTCCCTCCTTCTCTTCCCATAGGCCCCTCCCTGCTACAGATCCTAATCATCACCTACCCCAGGCATAGTATAGCCTTCTACAAGGCTCCTTACCTCTAGTCCCGTCCCTCTGAGTTATTCTTTGCACTTACAACTGCAGTGATGGAAAGGACCCCAGGGCATAGAATCCACCCCCCTCCTTTTATACACAAGGAAACTGAGGACCCAAGATCACATAAGTGGGACAGGGGATTGGAGCCATGGCACACTGCCCCCGGGATCTCTTTCCCCTATGCCACATGACCTTCACCAGCTCTCAGAATCCTCCTTCTAGTTACAGATCTGGCCCAAGCCCGCTTGCCCACTGAGTCAAGGTCAAACAGCCCAGCCCTCCTCCAATTCTGCAGGTCCCAGGCAAATGAAGCATCCTTGGTGGCTTGGCATCTCCAGTCTCTGGGCCTTTGTTCACACAATCGATGTGTTCCCTGTACTTAGAATGCCCTCCTTCTCCTCTCTGCTTGCTGAATGCCTTCCCATCAAGAGGCTTTTACAAACAGAGAAATGGAGGCTAACTGGGTAAGGGCTTGGCCTCCAAATTCAGGGCTCTGCTTTTTTTGCTCCACACTGTGCCATTTCCTTCAGGACCCCACCTTGCTCTTCTGGTCCAGAGTTGTTGCCCCCTGCCCTCACTTGGAGTGGACCCTTTCACTGCTCTCCCCACTGGCCCTCAGATGCACCCATACTATATAATGTTAGACAGAGTTAGAGGGTCCTACCCCTGTAGTGATTGGGAGCTCCCTGAGGGCAGGGATTATGCCTTAGCTGAACTATATTTCTCTCCCAGGCAGCCTGGGAGTGGAAGGCTCCTGAGGTTGGGGGGCCCACTAGATGTCTTCAGGAAGCTGGGCTGATGTCAAGCAGCCCCATGGCTGCCAATCACAAGCTAGACCTGGCCATGCCCGTGGTCTGCAAGCCCAGCCTGCCACTGCCTTCCACACCCGGGAGATCATTTCATTTAACCTCACTTTGCAGGTGAGGAAATTGAGAAGCCACTTGCCCAGTCCTGCCATGAAGCAGAAAAGCCAGCACTCAGTGCCGGCTTTCCTCCACAGCTCTGGGCCCTTCCTTCCCTGTGTCCAGTCTGTGCTGCCAGGCCCAGGGCCCAGGGAGCTCTGTGGGCAGCTGTTCGCCTGCCTGCTTTTGACGTATTGACACTCTCAGACGTACCTAAGGGTCGTGTGTGTGTGTGTGTGTGTGTGTGTGTGCGCGTGTGCGTGCATGCGTGCATGTGTGTGTCTGTGTGTGTGTGTGCACGCGCTCGAATATGTGTTTATCTGGGTGTTGGAAGGGGTTGGGGGAGGTTCCCTTGGGACCAGACTTGCCTCCCACGATCATTCAGATTCCCCGACCCCTGCTGTGCATTCGGGCTCATTAGAGGCATTGAGTGCCTTATTATCCAGCCCTCAGCACATCAGGAGCTGGGGGGTGTGTGTGTGCGCGTGCGTGCGTGCGTGCGTGCGTGCGTGTGTGTGTGTGTGCGCGCGCGTGTGTGTATATACAAACAACCATGTCCATCTGTGGAGTCATTGGAAAGAGAGGGGCTGGGGCCTCCATACCACATCTTGGGGCCTTCTCCCCTCCTTGCCAGCTCTTTGATGGTCCCATTGTCCGCAGCTGCCCTTCTCTCCAGCTGACCTGTGGAAGGACCCAAGGTGATCCCAGCCTCCTTCAGCCTTAGCTATTGCTTTCTCCTTCATTCTCTGCTCCTTCTCCCCAGCCTAACAGAACCCCTTCCCCTTCTGGGACCCTTGAATCACTAATAGCCCCCAAGGCTCATCCACCTTCTTTCCAATAAAGCCCAGCTCCTCCCAGAGAGGTCTCAGTCAGTCCCATTTTACTTCCTGTGGGATCCGAGCATCTGCGCCTCAGCCCTCAAACCCTCAGAGACCCCAGTTTCAGGGTCCCCCATCCTCCCATGGGCCCCAGGCCTATATACTGACTCCCTTAGGGAGCAGAGCACCTAATGCTAGTGGGAGGATCGCCTCTCTGGGACCCCTACACAGCCCCATCTCAGCTGGCAGACAAGTCCAATTAGCAGCCAACGCAGCCCTATTAGATGCATTGCAGGAAGGAACTTGGCCGAGGAGGGGGGAGCATGACAGTGGAGGGAGTCAGAGCTGATGTGGGGGGTGGAGCTCAGAGGCATGCAGCTGGGCCAGGCTGGTTATGGGTGGGGGGGCGGCGGCATGACTCCTGGTATCTGAGGGCCGGGGCGCCAAGGTAAAGCACTAAGGGGGGGTCTGAGGTGGATCCCTGAATGGGCTGGGGCCGGACAGCCTGACAGGGACAGGAGAAGCTGAGGCAGGGTAATGCAGGCTGAATCCTCACCAGGAATTCTCCTCCCAGCTGCTCAGGGAGTCACTTGACTTCTCTCGGACAGTTATCTGGGAAGGGAATGGGGTGGGGGGTGGGTCAGCATGGAGACCCCACTCCATTCCTCTGCTTTGACTGCTCTCCTTAGCCACATCCCCAGCTACTTCCCAGCCTCCAGCTCAGAAAACTCCCCTGTCCCTCGACCCTCTAGCCAAGGGCTTCATAACCTGGGCTCCCGGAACTTGGTTATTTTTAATTCCGATAACTGCATTTCAGTGTAATTAGTTCCTTTCTAATCCCATGTATATTGTTTTCTGTATTTGAGATCATTAGGAGAAGGGATCCGTGGGCTTTATCAGATGCCAAAGGAGTCCATGATACAAAACAATGCT